CCGGCAAAAAGCACTGCCTTGTCCTGCCGCTTCTCGTGTGCTGTCTGTCAACTTCTGCTTTCTTTCCCTTTCAGATGTTGGACTTTCTGTCTTCTCCAATGGATATCACCTGTGGTTCCATTTTCTCAGGCTCCTGCCTCCCTGAAGGCAGATGTTCCCAGTTAGGGGCTTCTTTGGGAAGTTTAAAGCAGCATAATAGTATTAATAATAAAGGAGAAAAGATTAAATGTCCACTAGTAATACAACACTGTTTTTCCAATCTGCCTATATTTGTGTTTGATATAGTTGAAACATGGGGTATATATTGCTTTTTTTTAGTAAACTTTTTACTTTGGAATAATTGTAGATTTACAGAAAAGTTGCACAGATAGTGCAGAGTTCTCATACACCCTTCACCTCATTTTCCTCATTGTTAACATCTTACATTACCATGGTGGATTTGTCAAAACAAAGCAACTAACATTGGCACGTTATTAACTAGACTGGACTTTATTTGATCTCACTAGTTTTCCCATTAGTGTCCTCCTTCCGTTCCAGGATCCAGTCTAGGGTACCCTGTTACATTTAGTTGTCCTGTCTGTCCAGTCTCCTCTGGTCTGTGACAGTTTCTCATTCTTTCCCTGTTTTTCATGACCTTGACAGTTTGAGAAGTACTGCTCAGGTATTTTGTAGAATGGCACTCAATTGAGGTTTATCTGATCTTTTTCTCATGACTAGACTGGAGTTATGGGTTTTGGGGGAAGAATACCACAGAGTTGAAGTGTCCTTCTCATCACATTGTATTAGGAGGTGCATGATTGACACGACCCATCACTGATGATGGGAACCTGGAGTGCTTGGCCAGGGTATTGTTTGCCAGGTTTCTCCACTGTAAGTTGCTTTTCTCTCCATTCCCTACTCTGTTACTTGGAAGGAAGTCACTAAGTCCAGCCCATACTCAAAAGGATCAGGGATGGAATTAAGCTCCGCTTCCTGGAGTGTCTACATACATTATTTGGAATTCTTTTTTTTTTTTTTTTTTTGAGACAGATCTCGCTTTGTTGCCAGGCTAGAATGAGTGCCGTGGTGTCTGCCTGCTCACAGCAACCAATCTCCTGGGCTCAACGATCCTCCTGCCTCAGCCTCCCAAGTAGCTGGGACTACAGGCATTCGCCACATGCCGGCTAATTTTGTATATATTTAGTTGGCAATTAATTTCTATTTATAGTAGAGACGGGGTCTCACTCTTGCTCAGGCTGGTTTCGAACTCCTGACCTCGAGCAATCCGCCCGCCTTGGCCTCCCAGAGAGCTAGGATTACAGGCGTGAGCCACCGCGCCTCGGCCCATTATTTGGAATTCTTATGGAAGGAAGATCTGTCTCTTCTCCCCCATTTGTTTATTCACTCATTGATTTGCATGAGAATGGACTCATACTTTGAGTTATATTCTGATACTGTTTTTTGTTGCTGATACTGGCTTTGACTGCAGCCCTTTCAGCTTGGCTTCTGTGTTTCTCTGACGTATCCCATCCTTTTGGTTTTTGAGCATGTCTTTACTTTCCGGCATGGCAAATTGCTCTGAGCTCATCTTGCATTTTCCCTGCCCCAGCTCTGGAATCAGTCATTTCTCCAAGGAACCCTAGTTCCTTTTATTGGTAAATGGTGTTTCCAAAGCAACATCTGGACTCTGAGTGTACCAGCTACCACTGGAGAGTCATTGCCTCCAGGTCTCCTCAGGTGACAGAGCTAGGAAATATATGTATGTATACTGACCCATGTGTATACACATACTCATAATTGTTTCTGTAGCTCACCATCTGTGTCTGTTAAGCTAAACCTGAGCTCATACTGATGCCTCTGACTGTAGTCCCTTACTACAGAGTTCATTCCAGCCTCCCCTTGCTCACCTGTAACCTCTCACTCCAACAGGAGAAGCCTGCCTCCCAGTGTCCCCCTTCATGGACTTATTTATTTGACTCCAGTACATGCATACGTACTGGAACTGTTAACCTATGAAAAACAGCTTTATCAACGAAAGTACAGTGCTTGTGCACAGTTATTTTTGTCATTCTGCTTTACTATTTCCAGTGAAAACATTGTTTTCCAAAGTTACATGTAAGCTGCATTTTCCCCACCCCTTTCAGTGATATCATATCTTACATTTGTCATTTGTAGTGCAGTTAAATTCTTTTTTTTCGGTCCACACTTTATCTTGGCATTCCCTGGTTGACTGTATTAAAGTGACAGTTTATGAACTTTTTCATGTTACTATCTTGCTCTGTTGCCTGAGCTAGAGTGCTATGGCATCAGCCTAGCTCATAGCAACCTCAACCTCAAACTCCTGGGCTCAAGTGATTCTCCTGCCTCAGGCTCCTGAGTAGCTGGGACTACAGGCATGCGCCACCATGCCCGGCTACTTTTTCTATTTTTAGTAGAGATGGATGGGGTCTCACTCTTTCTTAGGCTGTTCTCAAACTCCTGATCTCAAGTGATTTTCCCGCCTTGGCCTCCCAGAATGCTCGTATTACAGGTGTAAGCTACCGTGCCCAGCCTATAATTTTTATATTTACTGTTTTGACTACCTGCATTGAGTTAGTAGTATGCCACAATTAATATGAAAGCTCTTTTATCAGAATATAGGTTATTTGTAGTTTATCAGTGTTATAAATCTCTAGGGAATATCTTTTTTTATTTTCTTTTTCTAAGTCTATTCTCTAGGTGGAACCAGGAAATATCTTTTTATGAACTGCTTTCTGGTTGGGTTGGTTTTGGATTTTTTAAGCTATTTTTTAGAGTAAGTCTTAGGAATGGAATTACTGGATACATATTTTGGTAACTCTTCAAATTGCCCTCTGAAAGTAGTTTAGAATGCTATCTACTATTTAAAGTTTTTCCAAAACCTTTTTGGGTTTTGTGATTAAAAAAAGAAACCTTTTGACCATTTTGATAAATACAAGATGCTACTTCATTATGGCCATAATATTTACTTCTTAATTTACTAGCGAGGTTAAACATTGTGCCCCATCTGTACTGACACAATTTATTTTTTGAGGACTGTACTGTAAAGGAAGGAATGGAAGAGGATTATGAATTCCATGCTGGAGTAAATTCTGAATTCGCCTAGGCAAATTCTTGCCATTTTGTAACTATTAGATTTGGAGAAAATAAGTATGGTGTTACCAAGTTTCCTTTTGGTACAGATTAATTTTTTTCTTTGGTGTCTGCTGTATCGGAAAATGGAAATAATGGTGGAAGTAATGGTGGTAGTCCCAAATTCACATTACCACCAATTGGCTTATTTGAATAGAAATTCAATCTGAGTTTCTTTTGGACACATACAATGTATCAGTTTGAAAGTGTGTGCTCCTTGAGGAACTTTTACCTGGTTGATTTCCAGCAGTAGAGGGCATAGGCCTTGTACTTAGTAGGTGCCAAGCACGTGTTGAAGATACAGTAAGACTAAGGGGTTCAGACGCCAGGTCGAGCTAGACTGCTGCCTTTGAATCCTGGTTCTGCTTGCTAGCCGCATGACTTTGAGCAAGTTACTTACCTCTGCCTGTTTCATCTGTATTGGGTCTTTGTGAGGACTAAGTGAGCTAGCTTATCTTAAAGCACTTAGAATAAAGCTTGACATGAGCTAAGGGCTATATGTTAATGTTGTTTTTTGTTAAATTCAGTTGAATTTGACCCATACCTAAAGAGCACAGATACTCAGCAGTGTTCTTTCCTAGGCTTTGATTTTGAAACCCACAGAAAAATCTTACCTATCTAGAGGTTTGGTTTCTTATTTTATTAACACAGATAGCACAAACCCCACAGTCAAAATTCTGGGCTTTACATATTGAGAGTCCCTTAGACCCTCCACTTAGATAGAGCTCTCTTACTCTAAACTTAATCCTCCAGCTTAGTACCAGAGAATTTTATTTATTTTTATATATATATAATTTTATATATTTATAATTATATATATCATTTTATATATTTATAATTTTATACATTATATTTAATTATATTATATATTATATTTAATTATAATTTTATTTATAATTATATATATAATTTTTTTTTGGTCTGTTCATACTATACTGGAAGTAGCAAAACAAGAGGAGATTGCTTTAGGAATAGTGACAGCCACTGGTATTAATAGTAAGAAGAGTTACTGGGACACAGCCAGACATCAGGGACAAAGAAACTATGTGGTTCCATAGAACCCCATAAGCACCATAGTCTGAGCCAGGTTTGGAGCTTGGCTTTAAACCTAGGTTCATCTTTCTGCTCTGTCACTCACTAGATATGGGGACCTTGGCCTAGTTACTTAACCTCACTGAGCTTTGGTTTCTTCATGGGCAAAGTGAGGATAATACTATCCCATTTCTTATGGCTATTTCCTTGGTACCTGGCTTATGGTAGGTACTCAAAAAGTGGTGGCTGGGTTTTTTATTAATTATTCATTTTTATTTTATTAAGTACAGGGTCAGTCAGCTTCTGTATATCCCTATCACTATATTATAGCCTAGTATAATGGCTGATAGTCATAATAATGACAATATGTTATTACGATGTTAAATTCAAAATCCTCTTTAAATGGCTGGGGATATGCACAGGATGAGATACATCTTTAAAGTAGTGACAAACTCAGATCACTTATTTTTTGGACAAAATTTATGTATTTGAGAGTTTTCCATTTAAAATGAAAAAAATTTAGGAACATAATGGAATAAACTTATCTCAAATATTTAGTTAGATGGACTATTTTATTATATTTCCAGACAGAGGTGTTTCTATAATCCCATGTCTAGTAGGAGTCAGCACTAAATCGATTTCCACTTGCTCTTGCCTCTGAAATATTTTTGTTCTTTTGGAATTGCTTCCTTTACTCATCTTTGATTTTGATATATATTTCTATAGAGGAAAAGAATCAATGTTATTTCTGTGTTATTTCTCCCTTACAGTGAATGGGTGAGATCGAACAGAAAGAAGAGCTTTTTTTCCCTGATTAAGGTTGAGGATAGATGACCTACCAGATGTTTGAGACCCAAAACTACAAGTTTTCTCTGAGGAAGGAGGAAGTTTGTAGGTACCTCAGCCAGGAAGACATCCATCCAGTTTTAAGAAATAGGCACCATTTCCCCACAAGGTTTCTAGAAGTAAGAATGAAAAGAAAGAGAACAAAAATTACTCAGACATAATTATAGTTAATATTTTGGAAGTTTTCTTCCATATGTTTTTTTTTTGTTTGTTTTTTGTTTTTTACTTATTGGGTGTATTTTCCACATTACTGCCTTCTCTTAGTTTTAATAAATATTCCCATAATAGCCACAGTAAATTTACTTTTTTTCAATGTTCTGTAATACAATTAAAGAGCTTCTGCTTATAATAAAATTGTGAAGGCGGCAAATGCCCTTTGGGTGCTCCAGTATGAATTAATAATGAGGTCGTGGGCCATTTGGCTTATTTTTGTGTTTCAGGGAGAGAATATAGAAGACATTCCAAAGGAAGTGCTGATGGACTGTGCCCACCTTGTGAAGGCTAATAGCATTCAAGGTCAGTTTTCCTAGTGGTGTTTTTAGAATTAGCACTGACTTTATGTCTGAAATGGATTACCTTTTAGAGAACATGCTATTGACTTTGGCTTATGCCGAAGGAATAACACATAATTTGTGTTTGCCTTGTTTTGTTCTTTAAGATGGATGGCAATTTTGCTGCTTGTCAAAGAATTAAAATCTCATCTCCTCACTCCTCTGATTTTCATGGTCCTATCTGAGTCTCAGCTCTTTTTATTCTGTTAACTTACTTTGAATAGAAGGTTATCTAGATGTGCCTACCCTGAAGGGTATTTGTAAAGGGACTTTTGGAAATTTGGTGATGTTGATACCTAAGCCAGAGAGACGTGTCTCATGGCTTCATTTTTAATGTTGTTTGATATCTTCATTTCCATTATTTGTCATTAGATTCCAGAACTAGAGTCTCTAAATCACATTTTTCTGCTTTTTCTTTCTTTCCTCCTCCCTTTACATATTTTTTTTTTTTTTTGCCCCTTAAATTGTGATGGTGTCAAGTCAGTTGATTTCGTTACCCTCCAGAGAATCTTATATAATTGGTCTGTGGTGGTCCCTGAGTGTGTCAGTTTTTAAAAAGCTCTCCAGGTGATTCTGATGTGCAGCGTGTGTTTAAAACAGTTGGCCTACGTATTTTAGGTCGGGCCTGGTTTACTGTGCTTGGTGCTTGTTTATTCCTGCTATACAAGATTTCATCTAATAGTCATTAAAAGTCAAGAGGAATGATTATTGTGGTGAAGGTGGTGATTAAGAGGGGCAGCCAGGATGTAATACTCTAAGAATAATCCAGTGGATTGGATTTTAGGTGTAGACGTAGATAGAATAAGGGTAATTGTGGTTTGATATGAAGTTGAGGGATGATCAGAGAGTTGGAAAGAATATGGTCTGGGTAGAAGATAAACATAGGACAGACCCATAGCTGATTACAGGTACCAGAGGGTAGGGATTATAAAACAGGAGCCCGGCATCATACCCCAGTCCCTGTAGACAGGGGGTCTTCAAACTTTTTAAACAGGGGCCAGTTCACTGTCCCTCAGACCGTTGGAGGGTTAGACTATCGTTTAAAAAAAACTATGAACAAATTCCTAAGCACACTGCACATATCTTATTTTGAAGTAAAAAAACAAACAGGCAAAAAACACCCACATGTGGCCCGCCGACTGTAGTTTGTGGACGCCTGCTGTAGATTGTGTTTCTTGAATCTTCACTTAGGCAGCCTTAATAATGAATCAGGTACCTAGACAAAGAAGGTAGAAGTCTGGCCTATAGAGCCATTCATTTTTAAACTATAAATCAACAAATTGTAATGGGTTTTAGGACATTCCATTTTATAAGTAGAACAGAATTTAAATTTTTGGTTGAGATTTTCAGTTAATGAAATAAAAAATGGCTGTAACAATCACTATCCTCTTTTCTTTTGTGTTCCAACTTCCTGCACATGTCCTTGTCCCTTCCATGCACCTCTAGCTGGCAGATATGCCTTTGTTAAAAGAGGTTTGGACTCCTTATTCTTAGCCCAGCCTGTTTCTTCTTAATCTCTTCATAGTTTACTAGTTCTAGAGAAAACAGAGGAGGGAAGAGTCATGAGACTAGATTACTCTTTTCTCTCCTCTTCATCCTTCCACAGTGTCAGCTCACCTAGCAAAATCAGGAGCTAAGCCCAAGGGTCTTACTCTCATGAGTTAATATCAGAGGATGTGCTAAGGAGTGAAGAAAATGGTCGTTGTTATGAGATCTGTAAAGGACACTGTGTAGCTACAAAATTTTCCTTCCTGGTTGACTACCTTCAGTTGGGTTTAAACTTGTCTGTTGTCATCAAATCAGCCTATTCTACCTTTACCCAATGGATCTTGCCAGACTAAACTATCTAAAAGTTTAGAAACTCTGTAACTCACCTTGGCCTCTATACATTCAGTCCAAGCTTCTGAAGCTGGCATTTAAGCATCTGTGATCTGATTACAGACTTCTTTCCCTTCCCATATTTTACACTCCAGCCAAAGCATGTATATGCTGTTTTCCAACCTTGTACCTTTGTGTATATTGTTCCCTCTGCCCTCGAGTTTGTCCTCCTTAGTCATCACATATCCAGATCCAAGCTAAGGTTCAAGGTCCACATAGTAGTTGTAATTAATGGTAGTAATTGCTAACGTTGATGGAGTGTTGATTACATGTGTAGCCCTGTGCTTAAAACATCACAAGTTATTTTTCAACTCTATTGAGTTTGGTATTATTTTCATTTTATAGAGGAAGAAACTAAGCTTAAAGAGAATTAAGGAACTTGCCTTGCCCAAGCTTTCAGAGCTCTGAAGTATAGTAGCAACTGGATTTGAAGTCAGACTGCCTGACTCTAAAGTGTTCTGTCTTAACCACTGAGCTCACTAACCTCCATGTAGCCTTTTCCTTCCCCAGTTTTGAGTGGTCCCTGCTGCCTTTGTATCACCTTAGCACTTTACTTATACCTTTCCAACAGGATTTGATTAGTTCTCATTTTAATTGAAGTTACTCATGTGTTTATCTCCCCTCCTTTAGCATCCTAGAAGGCAGGGTCTGTTGCTTCATCCTGTGTGTATTACCCATGGTGCCTGGCACATAGAGATGTTTTTTAAACTTTATTTTGAAAAATACCTTTCAAACATACAGAAAAGTTACAGGAAGAACACAACTCCCATATCCCATTTACTCAGATTCACCAATTTTTTAAATTTTTCCACACTTATTTGCTTTCCTGCTACATGTAGTGTACTCATTAACTTTTTTAACTGAACCACCTGAAAGAAACTCGTAGACATCATGGCCCTTCAACATGTATCTCCTAAGAACGAGGACATTATCTTAAATAACTGTGAAATTCAGGGAATTTAACATGGCTAGAATACTATTAATATTTTTTGATATACAGCCCATATTTAAGTTTTGCAGTTGTCCCACACTGTCCATTTATAGCCTTTCCTTTTTTTCTGATCCAGGAAAAAGAAAACTCTTTTATTTATTTATTTTTTTCTTTGAGACAGAGTCTCACTCTGTTGCCCGGGCTAGAGTGCCATGGTATCAACCTAGCTCACAGCAACCTCAAACTCCTGGGCTCAAGCAATCCTTAAATAGTTGCATCTTTCAATTTTGGGATTGCTTCCTTCACTATAAGCGGCTCAGTCGCGGGCAAGGCTCTCCAGGGGTTTAGCAACCCAGTTTCCCTTTAGAAACATACATCATGCTCAGCCCTCAACAACAATGATGTCAGACAGGAAAGATGGATAGGACCTCTCATTCAGTATCCAGACTCCGCCGCCTCAAGTGGTGCCAAACACTTACATCCTTTTGCCTGTGAAAGCCTTACTGCCCCACATCCATGTCAGCTGTTTTCTTCAGGTTAGACCACGGCGTATATACCACATTACGTTGTTCATCTTGCAGCCTGCCAAGAGAGACTGTCTTCAACATGCAGGCAGGACGAGACTGAGCAATGTGTTCCCTGCCCACTGGCAAATTATCATAATCCAACAAGGGAAATGGCTTCCAACGATAAGTCACCCACTGTTCAAACCACCAATACTATTTCAAAAACCACCACAAAGGGCAAATGGTAAAGCTGGCATTAAACAATGCAAATGAAAGTATTACAGTGGAAAATTGGGGTGCACAGATTAGCTCCAGGGACTTCAGAGAACTCCTAAGATTGAATGCAAATTATCATGTGCATTTTTTAAGAGAAAAGGACCGAATACATTTCCTCAGGTTCTCAAAGGAGCCCTGAACTCACAAAGGTTGAGCAGCAAGAGAAAGCCATGGCGTAGGATTCAGGAGACCTGGACTCTGTCTGGGCACTGCACAAACCAGCTGTGCCACTCTGGGAAAGTCCTGCACAGCTCTCAGAATCTCAAATGAAACATGAGGAAATTGGACTGGTTTAATAGGGTTTTGTTTATTGTTTCTTTTAGCAGTGAAACCCTTTTAATGAAGAAAACATAAAGTCCATCGAAGAAGAGATACTCTGGATGAAAGGGTGCTGGGTCCCCTGTCATCTCCTTTTGTCCCCTCACAACCACCCACCACATGTGTGCCCTCAGCACAACAGCTTCCCAGGCAGCTTTGAGATTCATAGTTTAATCATTGATCTGATGCGCTCTCCGGTCTGTCCAAATGAGACAGCAGGAGATTCAATGTTTATTAAATCTTCATGTACGCTTGAGAAAAGCTGGTGACCACCACCTTACCAATCAAAGTTAACATCACCAAAAATGGGCAAAATGACATCACGTGCCATCTCACTATAATGTGAAAAGCTTCACTTATGTAGTGTTCCTGCCCAAAAATGCCAGTGGGATTCTTATCAAGAGGAAGCATCAGATGCACCCAAACTGGCAGGAATACCCTAACAACTGGGTCTCACTCTTTAAAGAGTTTTCTTTGGCCGGCGTAGTGGCTCACACCTGTAATCCTAGCACTCTGGAGGCTGAGGTGGGAGGATCGCTCAAGGTCAGGAGTTCGAAATCAGCCTGAGCAAGAGCGAGACCCCATCTCTACTAAAATAGAAAGAAATTAATTGGCCAACTGAAAATATATCTAGAAAAAATTAGCTGGCATGGTGGCACATGCCTGTAGTCCGCTACTCAGGAGGCTGAGGCAG